CCCCAAAACCCCAAAACCCCAAAACCCCAAAACCCCGGGTTGGTTTAGAAGAATTGAATGTTGGAGAAAAATAATGATTTTGTAGAATTTTTAGGATTTTTTTTACAAAATTATGCTGTTAGTCTTTGTTCCTCCTCTTTCTCACCAAAAATGACATTTTGGGGGATAGTTATCTGCTTTTCAGAGGTGAGGTCATAGAACCTTAGGTTCAATGATGTGTTAATTTCCTCAAAAAGCTCTTTATCTTCTTCATTGAACTGAATCTCTCCTTCATCAGGGAACCTTTTGAACATGAGGTTGATGATCTTAACACTAGAAGCGAGCAGAGCATAATCAATCTTCTCAACCTCTCCTTCTCTGTAGAAGTCGCTACAGTGATACAGGTATCACCACAAAAGTCTTGAGAAAGAGGTTACCAAGTGTTTTAGGTGATTTACAGCTTCTTCATTTTGCTCTTGCTGTAGCTCTTTCAGCAACTCCTGGCTCTTAGCGATCTCAGACTTATTCTTCTGATACAATTGATCCAAATACATGATCTGGTTGTCATTAAAGAAACCTTCAACCTGAAGCTGGAGAGTCTCTAGTCCATCTTCTGAATATAACTCATGGTTATTGATCATGCTTGATAAGAATTCTCTCAGAGTTTCCTGTGTGAGATTGAAAATGCTAGATTCGTCAATACCTTGAGCTGATAACTTATAAATTAAGTTTCCCTTAGTGGTGATATCATATTGTGCCATGAACCTCGGCAGAGTAACAGCCAATAGTTCATAATATGCTTTCTCAGTAATCTTGTATCTGTACAGAATCTCCACTATGGTCAAGAAATCTAAATAATTGGTATTGTCAAGGTTCTTCATAGCTTGATTCATGAAGACCAAGACAGACTTGGTCTGTTTCTCTGACATTAAATTAATAAAGAAATCTCCCTTGAGATGATACATGACTTGGTAAAGTTGATAAGGAGTAAGCTTATCAACAACGTTTTGAACACTCATTAAAAGGATTTTGATCCAGTCCTCGCTTCCATAATTTAGCCGGCAATAGTATGTGAAAATCCCTGACAATTGTCTTGGCTGGTAATAGTTCATATGCCTAATAATTTGAGTCTCAAGAGCCTCCATAAACTCTTCATGAATTGGCACTCCTTTCACTGCGAAGGCAAATAAAAACTTGACTGCTTGGCTTGGTGTCACTGGGAGCCTCTCGATATTTGACAAAACTACAGAATCACCAAAGCTGCTTACTCTTATCAATATTCTTATGAGTCCTCTTTGTCACCACTTCAATATCAATTTGAGGTTTGGGAAGCTTCTTTTGGTACTTCGTCCCAAAGAGTTTCACTATATTTGCCATAAATTTTAGAAAGAGGGTTGTTTACGTACATCTTTCTCCTGTAACTTTAGGGAAATCTACAAATAGCATATCTTTGATAATCCTTATCCGGACTTTCTCTTGGAGCTCACCCAGAGGTTTGGAGTCAGGGTTATCCATTTCCATCTTCAAAAGAGTAATTAACTTGTTCCTAAAGTACTTGATAGCTTCAGGATCTAAATTTTTAAAAAGAGTCTTTACCTTGAAAATGAGGCCTATTGTCTTCATAAAAACTCAACAGCTCATCAGGGCCATCAAACCTCATTCTGAGCTTAGAGATAACGTCTTGAGTATTCTTAGGCTGTTTCTTTGTAAGAGGGATACCAAAGAACTCCTCCTGCTCAGATTTTTGCTTATAAAGATGCTTCATCTCATCCTCTTCAGCCTTTTTCTCTTCCTGTTGCCTTAAAGATTGCTGAAGGTCTGAAGTTGTACTTGAAGAGAAAAATCTAGAGACCTGCAAGCTAGTTCTGTTAGACTTGAAAACTATTCTTGGGTTTCCAAGAGCTCTCAGGGAGCACATTCCCAATTTCGAGTGTCTTAATGCAAACATATGGCTATTAATTAATAATATCTTATATGGGGTTTTGGGGTTTTGGGGTTTTGGGGTTTTGGGGTTTTGGGGTTTTGGGG